ACTACCTTATGCTTATGCTCAGCGATATTATAAGCAGGCGAATCGTGGTAAGGAGAACGTGAGCAATAACGAACTCTAATTTCATGTCTGCCTTCATTCGCGCGTAATACAGTCACTTCAATGTTCAGAGGATATGCAGTGCGCCAGTTTCAGTCTGGACTAATCAACCATGTACCGGTCGATGTTATAAATCTGAGCAGGCAAATCATCGTTCAAAGCTTGCACCTCAAAAATTGTATGTTTGAAGGCACCCGTGAAATTTTGCGTGAAACCTCAAAAGCTGTGTTTTCAAACGGCAGGTGTACTTGATGTCGTACAACAACAAAGGTTTGTTCGTTAATCAACTGAAGAGGCCTTATAAGGTGAACTCTCGCAACTCGACGAGTGCAAAGGCTCCTGTTGCTAATCCTCCTCCGTGTTGTCGACAACTTTCAGGAGTCTCGGCGCTGTTCAACGCCGCCCTAATCGCCTTTGATCGACTGCATCGTAAACAGGCTAGAGACGAAGTTGTTGAATTTGGCCACCGTTGTCGTCGAGGAGCACTTGGCTGTACTCCAGGCTAGGAGAGCATTGTCTGCCCCTCCCGCTACTTGGCTAATCACCTGTCCCCTTGTCGCATGTTGCCAACACAGCTACCGCGGATTGGCTTCGCCATGTTCCTTCTTCCGAAGTCATCATCTTCCGCCAGCAACTCGGTCAAGTACTGCAGTGGTGGCGGTGAGCTTTTCGTCAAGCGTTCACTTGATGGTCGTCCGCCTAGCCATCGCCGTCGTCGTCGACTCGAATCCGGCTCTAAACGAATTTCCAACGATCCAGAGGCTTATTAACGACCGTCCCTTGTTTTCCTCAGCGCGATCGCCGTCGATTCACTCTGCCAAAAGCTTCTGGTCGCCTGAACAACGAGGAACTACCCTAATGGCGGAAAATTGCCCAACAACGCCAATTAGCCTACTCTTCTCCTTGCTGACGGCCGTCGCAGCTATCAGTTTTTGGCGATCCCCTGATTGGTCAATGCCACAAAGAGAGAGTTGGTCGCGGAACTAAGCAGATGATATAATGTGACGCAAAGCGAGTCAGAAAAGCAGCAAAGCTGTTTATTGTTGTTAAAACTCTACTACTGCTTCTTCTGCCTCACCAGTCGTTCCTCAATCAACACCGTCTGCCGCTCCTCCCGAATGACATCGAAATCAGCACGACGCAGCGTACTGTAGTCACGTTGTACTACTGTAAGCAGGTTCGCTCTTCGTTAGAAACCGTTTTTTGTTGACTGCATAGCGATAAACCACAAAGCTTGCCGCCACGGGATGAAACTGAATCAAGCAAGATTGTAGATCTTTTATTTTCATGTGTTTCTAAGTATGTTTCATACATTGTTCAACCCATATTTTTGAGTTTGTGAATCACACCGTGGGATGCATTTCAGGCAGGCATTCAGTATCAACGGCTGCTAATAATACTATTGGGTTCCGACCGCAGCAGTTCATACAGTCTCTCCAACGCTCTCGATCCTGCATCAGCGATTCATCTTTGGCAGAAGGTGATCCAGGTCTGCAGCAGAGTCCGTCGAGACACTTCGCCCAGGATATTCTTAGCCATCCTTGGGGTCAACTGGCGGTCGGTCTTCGTCGTTTTTCGGAAGCATTCGCAATAGGTGCTCGATCCATTGCATTAGGAACTTCTTAATCTGGAAAGCAACGCACTGTAACACGACTTACTCGGATATCTCAACTCTGGACGCTGTTGTGAAGCATCAGTTTTGCGACCCGTATCAGAATGCCAATTTCAACCACTTGAAATCGGGATCACAATTTTTCAGTCATAGTCCATGTCTCTTGACCATTGGTGAGAGTGAGGATTAAAATCCAGGTGAGCTTAGATTGCTTTATCTTCAGATTTGGCCCAACCGTAGCTACATTGGTTAAACAAGTTGATGACATCCTCCACATTTTACATGCATTTCAATCAAAAGTTTATATTTAGCTGCCAGATATAATATCCAGACTGACCTTGCTGGAGGTGGTGTGGAGAATTTCATGCAGATTGATCCTCAGACTCCGTCAAATAAAAAGTGAGGTGAAGTCTTGTGATGAACCGAAGTCCAACCGCAAGGTAGTTGTGATATGCACGGCCTTGCTCTAGAGACACTCTTCGATTTCATTCTTGATCAAAATGATAGTGGGTATAGTGACTTTCTCTCTGAGGATCGAACTTGTCCAGCTTAAACCCGGATAAGCCGTGGTATTCTCATCGCTGTCTGTCCGGAACAGGTTATTTGTTGCAGTTAACCTCCATTTCTGCAAATCTTCCCTAACCAGTAACCCGAGGACGTGTTTGATGGGCAACAGCTAGGTATATTGGGATTCAACAGACAGCAGCTATAAAAAGTAGCAGACCTTTTAGCAGTGAATTACTGTTGGATGTAATATCTGCTAATAATATATGAACTGGCTAAAAGGAAAAAGGAGACCGTTCCGTTTCCAGAAGGTGCCTTGTGTCATTCTAAGCTTGAAGAGATCTACCATTCATTAAGCTAAAATTATGTGTTCATTGTCATTCATAACCGAAATATAGTATTTCATTTTTCTACTTCGCATCTGAATTGCCAAGAAAGCGATCTGACCCGCAGGTGCGATGTCATTAATCTGAACTGCTATACCTTCTTAGCAATGTTCAGTTTTGTACAACAACAGCGGTAGCAACAGTGGAAGATCATCTGTACAATGAAACGACCTATTTTAAACGCAGCAGCACATTTGCAGTGCGTAGCGCAAGGATATAAGGAGTATAATTGATAGCGACAAGGGAATTGCCATAGCCAACGCACTCTTCAAACATGGGCCACTGCATGGGCTCATATATCATATACAACGGAACTTTGGTGAATGGCAAAATGAGCATCTACAAGGGGTGGTGAAATCCGGCTTTGGATGAGTTAGGCGCATACAAAGTCAAATCAGGTTTGGAATGTTCCCTCATAAGAACGACGTGAAAATCAATTGTACGTAGCAAATATCATTTGAGAGCATGGAGTAACGCAAAATTTCTCCAAAACCAGATTTTGCCTCTTTAGATTCTTACTCGTGGCTGTCGAACAGAACATCTAAACATGTGATGGTCCGTCAGATGTTAGCACCGGCATTGCCAGAGGCATCTAGCAACTTTTCATTTTAAGAGCGACGTTTCAGCAACTAGAACTCCTCATATGCTACCTCATTAGCAGCGTCGATGATGGTAATTCCCTGCAGCCTGAAAATCAACACAAATGGAAGTTACGGTTGAGTCAGGAATGTTTATGGCAAAACTATCTGGCCTATCAAGCGTCATTTGACATTCAGCATATGCATGGCGCATATATTATTACTTATGCATGCATTGAATGTGAATATTAGCCTCTATTAGCTTTCCGTTTCGTTTAATGGTCAAGATGCTATTTTCCAGGATATTAATTCCTTTGAGGCATTAGATCCGCTAAACACCACTAGCTGACGACTAAAATAGAACATGGTTAGAAGCCTGGAGTTATTCCAGGCTTCTAACCGTGTTTTGCTTCAGTCTATTACCCCAAGAGCCTGTATGTGTCTCATGGAGCCGTCGCGTCGTTCTCTCGTTATAAGATTGTTTTAGAGACCGATATTCTTCTTCCGAATGGACATCAGGGATGAGCAGATGAAGTCAGGGATAGAGATGCGCAATCAGCAATAAAGCTAACTGGTGCGGCCGTAATGTTTGATCTAATGATATTCGCTAGACCGCAGGCTAAGTCATAATTTTTGGTATGCTTCACTGCATTGGCAAATTAGATGCTTCTGTGTGACTGCAGATCCGCCTCGAGAATGGCTTTTTAAATACAAGGTTGGTGGCTGGAACTAGCGAATTAGCCGAGATCCTCATGCAACAGCAGAGATGTTGAACAGATTTTCATAATCTTCACCACTGAGCTGTATGGGAGACTTTTGTAATCATAAGAGAAAACACAATGAAACAACACCCAAGCCCATTTTGGGTGTTGCACACACTTAACTCAAATTTGAATATATGAAGGATTTTCAAACTGTGAGTCCCAAAAAAAAGTACCACTTTTCCACAAAAAATTGAACTAACAATATAAGGGAAAATAGTAAATAGTTTCGACAGTTGTGAGAATAATATTCATTGAAAATGACAACCGTGGATCTCCGTTATTATATGACTTAAATTGATATTTGATGTTACATGATTTTGATTTACTTTACCAAAAAACAGAAGAGGTAAAAACAATTTTTGGAGATCATGCATGACCTAATAAGTTTTCTTTCGTTTATCAAATGTCACACTTCGATAGCGTTTGACAATTCTGACATATGTGGCTATTTTCTTCGCAGATATGAGCTTTGTCCCCAGCCATTCCACCAAGGTTAAAAGTGCGCTTCAGCGAAAGCGGAGGTCTAAATCCGTGAAGAAAACTGCTTCCAGTGCCACTGACACATTGTGGTGTGCTCAAGGCATCATTTGAAGTCGTTTGACAACAGGCAACTACTGAGGCAAACAGAAGGTGCTCAAAAACAAGTGTGCAGATGAAGTTTGACAGGTGAATTTTAGATAAATAGTGGTAGAATGTCATTTTCGTTTAGGCACTCATAGAGGGACCTCAGGGCTTCAAGTTATGGGCTAACAGATTGAAGTTAGCTTAGCTACTTTTCACTGGTTGCCTGCAGAGTATTTTCTATTTTTCGATGCTGACCTTAGGAGTGAAGCAGTTGTGACTCAGTTTCCATGAAGAACTCGGATGAACTAGCAAAGTCATTCCTTAGGTCACGGTTCCTGTAACAGACGGCAGAGACACGGTAGACAGAATCAAGAGCAGTCATAACTAAGGAGAAAGGAGAAAGTTATGTTTTAATGTGAAAAACTCATATGTTTGACCCGACCGCGAAATTGGATAACTTTATCTAGAAAAGCAAGCCTAAAGATGGCCCAAAAATAGACAATATGATTATAGTTTAGCAACAGGATCTTTTCCACTTCACTGAATAGAAAGAAGCATAAGTGCAGCTATATCCTGTACTCAGATATTCACCTTAAAGCGAGAATCTCACAGCTGGGCAAGAGCAAAGCAAACAGGATACTTTATGCTATGCTAATCTAAACGAAGAGCGGTGATATTGAATGAGAAAGGGACAGGCAAACTTTAACGTGTGCAGTGAATGCTGGGTTTCGATAATATAGCATATAGTTAAAGAAATGAAAGGCCATGCACGAAAGTAGGTCAGGAAAACATGAAACATGTCTCGAGGCAGAACAGGGGAAGAGCGCTATTCAAATTGTGTATTTATTTGAAGAAATTCAGGTTTTGAAGAAAGATTGTGCATGTAGATCTGCCCTGAAAATTATGAACAGTAGAAAATGCTATAATGCAGGTTATTGGACCAAATGCTATATTCTACCTAAGTGAATAGGTTAAATTGCAATGGGCAGGACACTTGCAAGTGTAACCACCATCGATGGACAAGAGAGGCATTAGACCTCATTCCAGAAGGGAATAAAAGAAGTATAGGAATGTCTCCAGACCAATAGCAGAATTAGCTGAAGAAATTTTCTGAATGAAAATAGTCAAGAATCGTAAAGAAACAGAAATTAGTGGCAGTCTTTGAAAGGTCTTCATCCAGCAGCGGACAAAAGTAACCTGTTTCGATGACGATCACATACTCTATTCATTACTAGTAGCCTGAATATCAATTTCAGTTGAAGCGGACGACTCAGAGATTTGAACACTGAAAGAAACCAACATTTTCATACACTGTAACAGTTGTACAATAATTTAGCTAGAGCTGCGTTTGCTCATATGATTCTCATTGTTTTTGCTGTTTAAATTGTACAGGCTGTATCTTGTTTTATATACACTGAAAATCAAGATTCTTTGATTGTCTTGTTTGATCGGTAAACTTTAGAATTTCGCATTCTGCGTTCAATTAAATGGCCAGAGTATAAAGCGTCGGCAATCTTCATCCATTAATTCTTGCCATTCATGATTTCTTTCAGGTTATTCACCGATGCCTTAGGAATTCTTTCCGTACTGCTGGAACCCCAATAGGGTAGGTGTTGTAAAGTTTTCAAGGTGCGGTAAATCTCTCCTCCACACAAACCCTTTCAATTCTTGACCATCATCGTTAAATAAGAACTAAGAATTATCGAGCAATACGAAGGAAGAGTATGGTCATGAACGGCAACTGATGCCTGTGCTCATGAGGATGGCCTTTATGGAGGTGATTCATGAACGCACTCTAGGAGGTCGCTACAAACGCTTTACCGATTTTCAGTAAACATGCTGCTGAAAGCCACATAGCATTACAACAGACGGATCAGCCACATAACCAGGTCTATTAGAAGCACTTGAACTGATTCATCCAGTGAAGAAAAATTTTCATTGCGCCAATTCGAAAACGCTTGGCACAGCAAAATCAATCGAATTTTAATGATGATGGTTTCCGTGTAATACACGAAGAACAGTAGTATGAAAATTCTGAGTTTCGAACGGCTTTGCGCTCCCCTTTAGGCGAAATCTTAGCCAAGTCCATTTTTCCCACTAAGTGACGTGTATTGCATAAAATGGTTTATTTGTAAAAGTTCTGTAATGTTTTCGAGAAAATTCTTTGTCTATGTGCGAAAAATAGCAACGGCATAAGTCTTTGGAGCAAATATACTTGCGGTGTTGAAGTGTCAGTAAAATTGCCTTTCGGTTCTCAAGTGCTCTGATTTCTCAAACTTCTAATATGAATCTCGTAACGTCGCGTATCGTACGTAGATTGTTAAACCGCACATCACATTGCCTGAAGATCAGTTAAATGAAATGCTGCTAGTAAGCCACAGAACGTTGTTTTACAGTATTTGAAAGTTACGAATCCTGCATTGTTCAATGACCCTTCTGCACATGATCAGCGCTGCTATTTTACAGGTACGGCTTCGACAACTCATGAGAATTAAATGGCCGGACAACGTAAGGAGTGATTTATCCTGTTTTGTTCCATTTTTCGCGCAGGAGACTTCCTCAGATGTGAAGATTGACAAAACGACTTTCATCCTGTTACACAAATTCAATGAACACACATATGCTTGAGTCTTCCAGGGAGGGTGCTTAATCATCGTAGACATCAGCCAGGAGGCCGGCATGAAGCATGAATGAATAAACTGGTAGATTTGTTTTTGAAGAAATATGTTTCGTTCTACGACGTAGAAACCGATGGGTCATACGAAAAGTAATATCATAAACTAGAAGCATTTTGCTCATGCAAACAACCTACGGCGATGGTCTCAACAAACGCACAGAGATACGGATATTTTCTCAAACAACTTGTTATCCAGCAAATCTACGTCAATCTACGGTCACTATGACAATTGTTCCTCTATGCAGTTCGACCGTACGTCCTCGTTATGGTGAACGGCAGCGAAACAAGCACATTTGTTTACAACCAGAGGTTCTTTCTTTACTATTCTGTGCAACAAAATGTCAACTAGATCAACAGCTGCTGTATTCGAACACTTCTACAGTACCTCCGCGATTGGCAGTTTTTTGAAGGAGGCACACTCCCAGGAAGAAAATGCTTCAGCCAATTTACCGCCATCGACACAATGTCGAGAATCGTCTAAAGCAAAAAATTTATAATATAAAATAAGATGTTCTGCAGAATGAACCTCACAAACAGTATTCACATCTGATTTAATAAACATATTTTCAAACGGTGGCAGGCTCATCAACGCGTCAGCCAATGGTCAAGTTTCCCATGATTAATTTTCGCTATGATAGCATGTATGAACCACAAACAACAATAACATTGACGAAAAATAAAGCTGAATCAATCATTTGATATATATCATGTTAAGTTGGCAAAAAAGACATCATGCATCTTTCACCGTCGCTCTTCTGTCCCGCACAAATACAATGATATCGTAAGCAGCTTAAAATGTTATAGAACGTAGATATTTTTTATCATGCTGCATTGGTAGCTGCGCACACATATCTTAATCTTGTAAGACACGCTGAAAGTGATCAAAATTGTCAACTGATATTAAAAGCATAATTTTGCACAGTACCCAATTTCGAGTTATGTTGATGGAGAATCTGCATAGCGAAAGGCGGCGGTGCTGAGGAAAATTCTACGGCTGTGCGCCTTAGAGGCAGAGGTTCGAACGCAGAACAAACTTTTCCTATTAACTGCTAGGGTAGGCAAAGGAAAGGCTAAAGGTTCTATGTATTAGCATTCAGTGCAACCATTCGAGAACCATGCAACAAGTCATTGATCAGCACCAACGGAATATGAACGATTCTTATGTAGACATGTGGGAATGCGAGAAGTAAGGCCTCGCTACCGTACGATATTGATTTTCATTCACCCAAAACGCCAAAAGAAAAATTTTTAGGAACATTTTATGTGCAAAGTGTGCTTTTGGCTGAGTACTGCGGTAGCCGTGAAGGTCTGAGGTCATTCAGGAATCGTCAAAGCCGCTGGCTATTGAAACAATGGTATCGCGCAAGTCAGGTAGTATCACTCCGGTCACAAATGCGAACCCACCATTGGATGGACACCACGATTTGAGTCCGTCGTTCTAGTAAAACCTCAGTACGCGCAAGTTGCCATGCTGTCTGTTCTGTGAAATATTTGTCGACGTTTCTTTGTCCACTTTGGGGTTAGGTCTCATCTGGAGAAGCAGCGGCACCTTGTGGCCAAAACACTACACACCGCGAGAGAAAGTGTTTCGATGCGCTTGTCAAGCGAGGTGTGAAACAGTCCGGTCCGTTTGCTCATGCTGGATTTAAACTCATCTCTCAGTGACCCTCATCAATGACCAATGACAGTTTCGCATGGCTTGCAGGTAATTGAATTTTCACACTGTGGCGCATCTGTGGCTCGTCGTCGTCACATTTATAAGCCGCGTAATTGATTGTTTATGACTTAAGCCGTAAATAGTGGTCGGAATTATTGAGCGGGACGGCGACGACGACGAATC